TTTATTTCATTCATTTATGAAACATACATTTGTTAATCACTAATTCTGTAGTAGACACTTAAATATACTAGGTATACAGCAGTGAAAAGTAAATAGACTCATTTCTCTCAAAGTTTATAGGCCAACATAAATAGCAATAATGAAAAATGTTAAGTACTACAATAGATAAATGCAAGGATTTTATGGAACCAAGAAAAAGAACAAAGTCTTCCCAGGGCATAGTGTCTTATGCTTATAATCCCAGCACTTTGGGAGGCCAAGGCGAGTGAATCACTTGAGGCCAGGAGTTGGAGACCAGCCTGGGCAACATGGTGAAACCCTGTTTCTCCAAAATAAACAAAAAATTAATTGGGTATGGTGGTGCTCTCCTATAATCCCAGCTACTCAGGAAGCAGAGAAAATAATTGCTTGAACCTGGGAGGTGGTGGTTGCAGTGACCCAAGATCACACCACTGCACTATACCCTGGGTGACACAGTGAGATTCTTTATTAAAAAAAAAAAAAAAAATTGAAGGATAGAACAATCAGAGATAAATGGAAAATAATTTTCCAGGCAGAGGTCATGGCATATGCAAAGAAATAACAATGCATTATGGTATGGCAGATTGAGAGAAGTGAAAATCATTAAGTTGTAGATGGGATGACAATGGGGTGTGTGGAAGATTAAATTGGAGAGATGTCACCAAGTTTTGACTAGCTCTGCATGTAATAAGGAGTCTATTATATTTCTTTCTCTAAACTATAGGCAGATTTAGTTTTATTAAGAGTTGTGGTCTGAAAAAGAAACAGTGGGTGATAGGTTGAGGGACAAAAAATGAAAAAATAAAGAGTTTCTCTCTCTCTTTTTTTTTTGAGATGGAACCTTGCTCTGTTGCCAGGCTGGAGTGCAGTGGTGTGACCTCATCTCACTGCAACATCCGCCTCCTGGGTTCAAGCAATTCTCCTGCCTCAGTCTCCCAAGTAGCTGCAGCTACAGGCACGCACCACCACACCTGGCTAATTTTTGTGTTTTTTTTTAATACAGATGGGGTTTCATCATGTTGGCCAGGGTGGTCTCAATCTCTTGACCTCATGATCTGCCCGCCTTGGACTCCAAAGTGCGGGGATAAAATGAGGAGTGTCTTTAGGATAATGCCCAATTAATAGTAATATTGGCTGATACATTTATTGTTCTTTATAATACTCTAGGATTCCCAGGAAGCAATGTCTGTTGTTGATGGCTCACTCTAATATTTTTTCTATGGTAGATATATATAATGTATGGTGGCTCAGAGTATAAACATGTACACATGTACATGTAGTTGTGTTTTTTAGTAAACTATTTATAATAATTTAGTGTTTTCAGAAATGTTGCAAGGATAACTCTTCTGAAAGTGTCATCATATGTCCTTCACTTGGTTTCCACTATTGCTAACACATTGTTATTCTGCATTTGCCACAACTAAGAAACCCACAGGTACATTCGCATTAACTGAATTCCACACTCTATTTAGATTTCACTAGTTGGGATTTTGCATGTCTAATGCCTAATGTTCTTTTTCTGTTTTAGAGTTCCATCCAGATTCAGTATTTTCTTTTTCAAGCACTATAGTGGCTCTGCCTTAAATATTAAATTGCAGCATTCAGGTACTTTAGAATGTCAGAAAAAATGAAGTTGTAATCCTGACACTGTTATGTTTTATATAACATCCACGAGTTTAAACACATTTTATTATTAGCAAATTGGATAAAGTATCATTCTTAAAACATTATAGCAAGATATGTAATCAAAGATTGAAGCGTCATGCAAAACCACATATTGCAGTGTATAGCAAAGAAGTCTTATTTAAAATGGCACTCTATCAATAGCCCTTCTTTTTGGTGGGTAATATTAAGCTTAAAATTGGCTTAAAATGCAAATAATATCGTTAGAAATTCTAGAAAGTTGAATTTTTATCTAACTTCTTTAAAAGTTCTTCTGCTCTAATTTTCATAGTTGAAATAATACAGAATAATACAGAAGAAATATACTTTGAACTTAATTTCACATTTCATTTCACAAATCAATTTTCTTTTCAAAGATGTGGCCCATTTATTATTTGTTCTAAAACATATTGTTACCTTGGTAACTGCCAAATTATAGACCTTATGTAACAATGTTGGTGGGGAGAATCTTAACCAATGATTCAAGAAAAATGAAGAGACCTGAAGTTCGCTTAATAATTTTGATGTCTGGAAAGTCCTCTTACAAACTTTAACCATCACAGACCCTTGAAACATCTCTCCTGTCTTCCAAGGGACCTAAAAACGCTAGTCAAGAATCCAGGCTGACTTACGATCCCTATATCTAATTTCCCACCACGCACGTCCCCCCATTCTCCCTCCAAAAATATTTAGCAGCTTGTCATGAATTCTCAATGTTCATTTCCTTATTCAGCACATTTTTTTGCCCCTAACAATGTGGCATCAGTTTGTAAAGAAAAATTATTATGACAATAAAACAAGTGTGGGCCTCATTTCACATAGATTTTTGCTGCTTTGTTACCTTGGGTGCATTGACTTAATAGTAAAAAGGACCACAAGAGAAACTCAAGATAGAGATTACAATAAATTGGACTCAAGCTCCAACCTGGCCTTGTTCAGTGCTGATGTGGTGGGCTCCTTTAAGACTCATATTTATAGCTTTGAAAATAGATGACTTAAATATATCATCTCCAAGATTTCTTCTAGTTCTGAAGTCAATGATGCTCTGAGAATTTTTCCCTTTGATAATTCCTCAAGTAATTAATTACCTAACTGCTTGATTTCCCTAGAGCAACTTCAAATACAGCTACTTCCTTTCTTGGAATCTTTGTCTCTCAAACTGCAAATACTGGAGATTTCAGTTATCTTTCATAAAAGAGAAATATGTAAGTCAGAAGAGAGTAAAGATTTTGGAGATTGTAATTTTAATCAGCCATATATTCAGCCTATATAGTCAGCCTTTTGTACAGGATAATAAACAGGCTGTATTAATGCAGCCATTTTTTAAGAAGGGAGGATGGACAGTACCCCTTTCCTCCATCACAGGCCCTGGTTTTCCCTCCATTAACTGCTCTGAAGCCTTAGTCCAGTCGTAAACTATGCAGCTGTAAAACAGGCAGTACTTTTGTTTGTATTTAATCATCCAGGGTTCCAGCATAAGCTATAGGTTATGAATATATACTTATTTCCTTTTCATGTACATTGCTTAAAAGTGTTTCTTTAATTGAATAGTGCCTACCCTACCCAAATTCACATGATGAAATCTGAGCCCTAATGCCCACTAAATGTGACCTTAATTTGGAAACAGTCTTGTAAAAGTAATTAGTTAAGATGTGATCATGCTGGAGTATGGTAACTGTCTAGACTGATATGCCTGGTGCCCTCCCAAAAAGGAAATGTAGACAAAGAAACAGGAAAAACACCATGTGAAAATATGAATTACATTGTCATTAACCTAGGAAGAACCAGCACCTAAGAGAGAGAACCAGAAAAGATCCTTTCCTAGTTCCTTTAGAGGAGCATTGCCCTGGCAATACCTTGATTTTGATTTGACTTGTGGCATCCAGAACTCTGAGACAAAAAATTTCCATTTTTCTAAGCTACACAATTAGTAGTGTATTTTTATGGCAGCTCTGGAGAAAGGATTATAAGCATCAACACAGGTATACAGTGTGGGAGTTTGAGGGTGAATTTCTGTTCATTCCATAAGATCCATTCCAGGGAATATATTAGTACCATCCTGGTTTATAGATTTGTTTTGCCTATGCTGCTGTTTGGGTTAGCACACCTACCAGTGTATTTTTCTATGGCTTATAACACATCTGGTTTCAGGTACTTGACTTTATAATTTACTAGCTATGTAATTAACCTCAATGATCTTCAGTTCCCTGAGAATGATAATACTTGATCTAGAGAACCATGGGCTGATTTATAAGGATCAGGAGAGATAACGTAAGTGAAAAACAATATGCAGGCATGTAGAAGAGCATATGGAGTACAGAGATTAAGATCAGGGTCCGGGAGCCAGGCTGCAGGAGTTCAAGTTCTACTTTTTCCTTTATTAGTTGTGTGACTGAACTACAGACTCAACTCTACTATTTTAAAATAAGAGCTATAATACTTCCTGTGTATGAAGGCTGTTGTGAAAATGAAGTAAGTCAATATATAAAGAGAGCTTAGAAGACTGGCACATAGAATGTACTCATTAAATAGTATCTAACAAAAGTACTTTGCAAAGTATTTTGAACATTTGCAAATGTTTCATTATTATAATTTATAGGTAAGAAATAGCTTATTGACTTTATATGCCAATATTAAGTATACATGATTACTGATTTTATACATCAGTTACTCTGATTTCTAGCTCACTGTTCAACATACATTTTGGTATCATGTATTTTCATAGCCAAAAAGAGCTAAGCAAGGATGATGACAAAAAAAAAGAGATGTTATCAAGTAGATCAGGGTTGCCCCAAGAGACAAAAGCACTTTACAAGTAGAAGATATTTCTGGTATTCATTAATCTTGTCATTTCCTTGTGTGAGAATATTTTAGAGCCAAACATTTTTTGAGCATGATATTTATCTAATATAACAAAAAGCAAAGTATTCAAGTAGATTTTAGAGAATTACATTTTAAAAATTTTTTAAGTTTTCACTGAAATCCTTGTTTACATATATTTGAATGGAGATACCTTATCTATCCATCCCCCTCCTGGGTTAAAGTAAATTAAAAAACAGCCACACATTGCTGTATGCATTAAGTTGAATTTCTAGGTCAAACAAAATACTTCTGTTGGAAAACAGCATTTGCTTCATGTGTGTCTGGCCTTACAGAAAGAAAAGAAAGATTTTAGCATCTGGCCTTAGAAGAAAGAAGCATTTTAGTAAAACACCTCCTATGAGGTTTTTGTTTTTTTGGTTTTTTTTTTTTGGAAATAGAATTAGCTGAGACTTAAAAACAAGACTACCATGTTTATTCGATTTCATACAACTTACCCAGGAAGTATAATTCTGTAGGACAGACTGTCTCAGTGCTGTGGATAAGTTATAGTCTTCAGAACTATGATGTGTTTGGTGTCCGGCCCACATAATATTAACTTCTGCAAAACACATAATTTGCAATGAGCCCTGAGAATAAGAATAAAGCAACTTCCATTTTCAGTTATGCATGCTGCTCTGTTGAGTGAGGAAGAAAAATCTGGAACATCTCTGTAAAAGCTGGCCAATATAATTATAATTAAAATATGCCGCCTGAAATAATTTTTGGAACCAGAGACTGTATAAATTATAAATAAATAAAAAATGGAAGCATAGGCCAATAAATATGTATAGTTTATAGGTTACAATTAAATGCCTCGAGCAAACTGACATTAATTCCAAAATTTACACTTTGCTAACATATTATAATATGACAGATTATAAAAGCTAGCTGGTAATGTTGTGACAATCCACTTAATGGATAGTGATGATTTTTTCAGTATGTGATAACATATTTCTAACTAAAGAAAAATTGTCTTAAGGGAGAAATTGGTATGTAAATTTTGGAATAAAATATTAATGAAATTATTTCCTCATGGCTTTCTGAGAAGTCTCAAAATCTGTTGGAATAAGAAGCAAAGCATAGCATAGTAATAGTTTACGCTAAGATCTCAGGTATTCTTTTATTTATAAAATTATATTAGCTAACAGTTACCTATGGTTTTCCTTTACCTTACCAAAATACTATACCATTTCTAAATTTTCCCATGTAGTTTTTGCATTCACAAAAAGGAAATGATTGTTGTTTATTTTTATTAAGCAGCGTACAGATTGCTCTCATACTATCTTGCAATTCATACAGACTCCAAAGAGTGGCTTGTTTCTTTTTTGATTTTTACGACAAATATGACACTGCGTTGATCCCCTATGTCATTGAAACAGACAAGTACAAGTGGTTTTTTATTCTGCCCATATTTTAAAACTTTTATTTACATTTTTCATTTCCTAACAAAATTGTAGATCACAATGTCACATTATGCTCTATTCAGTTTAAAATATGTATATATAAAATGTTCTTAGCTAAACTAACTTATGTTTAGTCTTTGGTACAAATCCAGGAGACGGAATTAGCTGTGTGACATGATCATCATATCCTTGCCTGTGTAGACTAGAAATTAAATCTTTTAGGCTTGGATTTATAGGAACTAAACAGTGAAACTAGAAATGCAAATATCAGGTTAATTGTCTTTGCAGTTGCCATATACTGATAGTTAAAATGTATGGTACATAGCAGAATAATTTTAGAAGTTTTTATGAAAATCATGTTCATATATATTCTATTCAATCTGGGCAAATATTTGGCCATTGCTTTCAAAAATGAAAGTTCTCTGAACAATGTTTGTAGAGAGTTACCAAACAAAATTGCAAAAGGAAAAAGGTTTTGGTAAACAAATGATAGCTCATAGATAAAAGAAGGACTTAATTCTGTATAATAAGGAATGTTATGAACAGGATTATGGTTAGTCTTATTATGAACAGATATCAAATGTCATTTCTATTAAAAGTCATATTTTCCAGTTGAACAAGTATTGTCATAAATCATCAGCAGATATGTAACTTTGATCCCAACTGGTCAATGTTTTAATTATTTTAATCATTTCTAGGAAAGACACTGCATTTCTACACTAGCAATTAAGGAATCTGTTCTAACACAAAAGAGAACTACTTTACTGTAATGGCCTTTAAAAATATCTAGTCATAATCTTTGAAATAACATAGAACTTAATCTGGTTTATTGATAAGCCTAACGGCTATACATAAGAAATATACAAAGACCCTTGTGACACTTTATATCTTCGGATGTTAAGTGGACATTGATTAAGAGGTAATAAATTTGATGAATCCCCTGAAGTTTAAAAACCACTACACATAGAGGTCTTGAGTAATCTAAGCACCATTTTCTCATTAGAGCATACCCATTGCTGAACATTTTATAACTTATGACTTATACACTTTTATTAAAAATCAATACATTGTCTATTTTTCTGACCTGTCAGGATTTGTTTTTTCATTCTAATGCATCCACAAAATGAGTTAACAAGGGGATGAGCTAATCAGATGAGACTCCATTAGAGAGTCATAATATATATTGGGAGCCACTTCCTTGTAACCTTACAGAAGCTAAACGGTGAAACAAAGAATCCACAAAGGGAAAGGTTAAAGATCTGTCTCTTTAGTTGTTTCAAAAGCATTTACTTCCTATCACAAACTGTGTGTAACACAAGCCTCATTCAATGAGGTACAGCTGTACAAACAGGGCACTGTAACAGGATTCTACTGCCTCACCTCTGTCACTTTTCAGAATTGGTAAAACCAGAAGGAATACTGAGTTTGTTTCACAGTCAATATTCAGCTTATTGGAGGTAAATTATCTCTAAAAGTGGTTATAAAAATGTATTTTACAGAAAATCATTCCAGTAGTTCTTTTATGAACAAAATGAGAAAAATTAAATGGTGCATTTATATGATCATCTTCCCTAATACCTGAATTGATGAATTGACTGTTCCAAGAAATGAAAATAAATATTAAGGAGGAAAAAAAGATATTTAGAATAAGCTTCTCTCTGTGAAATACTTCATATAATTATACATTCTGTTCAATATTTTTCTTTTTCTATAAGCATTATAAAGATTATATTAATACATGTATATGATGTTATTATAACTTTTCAATGATATAACTGGAAATGATTATGCTGCTTTCTAGTGCCAAATGTAATCCTGTACATTTTATTAATATATTGGTCAACACTTCCTCCATTTATTTGGCCAATATTTACTGTAGTGTGTGTGTGTGTGTGTGTGCACGCGCGTGTGTGTGTCTGTATTGTATATTTCTTTTTCAATTTTTTTATGAAGATGTAACTTATATGCAACAAAGTCCATCTTCTTTTAATGTTCAGCTCTATACGTTTTTAACAAATACAGCTTTTAATGATTATTACAATCTAGGTGTTGAGCAATTTCTTAGCCCAAAGAGTTCACCCACCCTATTTTGTAGTTGTGGTAGTCAGACTTCAAGATGGTTCCCTGCTTCAGATAAGTCAAGGTCTGGACTTTGAACTAATAATGCAGTGGGATGAAACTTTTGGGAACAGAAAAGAAGTGAGTGTCCTTTAAATGTGGGAGAAATATGAATCACTGAGGTCCAGAGGGCTAAATAGGCCAGGCAGCCTCTAGAATTGCTCCTAGTGATTCCTGTCGAATAGGATGCATGCCTTTTATAATCTCCTGCCTTTGAATGTGAGCTAGATTTAGTGACTTTCTTCTAGGACTGTAAATAGAAATTTAACAAAGATGATGGGATGCCACTTCTGATACTAGGTTTTAATAAGACAGTATCTTGTGTCTTGGTTCTCTGTTATACCCAAACATTCTAAGAAAAGCTGGCTACCTTGTCATGAGCTTCCTTTGAAGAAGTACATCTGTCAGGGAACTGGGCTAACCAGTCAACAAGGAACTAAGATCATCAGTCCAAGCCCCATGAAGAACTGAATTTTGCCAACAACCACGTAAGAAAGTTTGGATGCAGATCCTTCTTCATCTGAGCCTTCCAACGACACTGCAGTCTGCAAAGAGCTGAACCAATTAGCTGCAACCTCATGAAAGAACTTGAGCCAGAGACATTCATCTAAACTATGCCCCAATTTCTAACCCACAGAAACTATGAGATAATAAATGTTTCTTGTTTTAAGCTCCTAACTTGTTACAAGCAGTAGATAATTAATGCAGTGGTTAAAACTTCTCCCTCTCACCCCTACCCCATTTTCAGTCCCTAGCATCCAATGATTTTTTTCTTTTGGTTTTGCCTTTTTAAGTGTATGCTATCAATAAAACCATACAGTATGTAGCCTTTTGAGTTTGTCTTTTTTCATTTAGCATAATGCATTAAAGATCCCTCCATTTTTCTATTTTTATGAGTAGTTTTTTTCCCCTTTTTATCATTAGTATTCCACTTGAAAGACTATATCACAATTTTGTTTTTATCTACTCACGAGTTGAAAAGCATTTCAGATGTTTCCAGTTCTTGACAGTTAAAACTTATATTAAGAAGTTATCATAGAGGTTTTCTGTGGACACAAGTTTTTTTCACATAGATAAATACTTAGGAGTGGGATTGCTGAGCTGTATGATCTGTCTGCATTTAGCTTGTTAAGAATCTATCAAATTGTTTTCCAAAGTGGCTGTGCCTTTTTTTTATTGGCACCAGCAGTGTGTGAGAGTTCAAGTTGCTCCACATCTCTGGAAGCACTTGACATCATTAATTTTATTATTTATTTGACAGCCATTATACTAGGTATGCAGTGTTATCACACTGAAATTTTAATTTCCATTGCTGTAATGGCTAATGACAACAGCTCTATGTACCTAATTGCCATCTATGTATCTTCTTTTGGAAGCGTCCATTCAAAATTTGTGCCCATATTTTAAATGAGTTGTTTTCTTAAGTTTTGAGAAATCCTTGTATCTTCTGCATACAAGTCCTTTATTAAATATCTGATTTGCATTTATTTTCTTCCAGGCTATAGCCTTTTTTTAAAATAGTGTCATATAAAGAACAAAAATTTTAATTTTCCAATTAAAAATCCAATTCATATACTTGACAGTTTTATTAAGCTTTCTGGTGTATATAACAAAAACAAAGGTAATTTTGGAGAAACTTCTCAGAAAAATAAGAAATATCTAAGTATACAGAATCTAATCTTCCTACAAATATTAAATATCTAAAATAAACCTTAAAACATCTCTTCTCTCATATCTTGTCATCTATGGAATGGAGGGAAGTGAACTTTTATATTAATTCAAGACATAAAGAGAAGTCTACAAGAAATATTCACAGATATATAAGATAGCAATTTAACTCCCAATAGTGGGCAGGCCAAGAAGTCTTGGGTCAACCTTGGAATGATGATGTTGGTTTCACTTGTTATCTGGAAAACTACCAAGTTATAAAGAAGGAAATGTTACAGGCCTATATGCAAAATGTTAGTGATGCTTGATACCACTAAAAGCATATTGCTAGCACTTTATGCAACATTTAGCATATCGTACAATGACTATA